TTTGTTCTTTTGAATGTGGGCCAGTCTCTGAGGTGTGAGATGGTATCTCATTGTGGTTTTGATCTGCATCTCCCTGATGATTAATGATGTAGAGCATTTTCTCATGTGCTTTTTTGCCATTCGGATTTCTTCTTTGAGAAAGTTTCTGTTCATTTCATTGCCCCATTTTTGGATGGGGTTGGATGTTTTCTTCTTGTGGAGTTTAACCAGTATTTTGTATATCCTGGATATCAACCCCTTGTCAGATGTGTATTCGGTGAATATCCTTTCCCATTCTGTAGACTGTCTTTGTATTTTGGTCACTGTTTCTTTGGAGGTGCAGAAGCTTCTTAGTTTAAGATAGTCCCATTTATCTATCTCTGTTTTCACTTGCTCGGCCAGTGGCGTGGCATCTTTGAAGATACCATTAGCTTCAATGTCATGGAGGGTTTTGCCAACTTTATCTTCAATGTACCTTATGGTTTCTGGTCTGATGTTGAGGTCTTTAATCCATTTTGATCTTACTTTTGTACATGGTGTTAGGCAGAGTTCTGAGCCTATTTTTTTGCATGTAGCCGTCCAGTGATGCCAACACAATTTATTAAAGAGGCTTTCCTTACTCCACTTCACATTACTTGCACCTTTATCAAAGATTAGATGAGCATATGATTGAGGAGAGATGTCAGTGTATTCAACCCTGTTCCATTGGTCTGCAGTTCTGCCTTTGTTCCAGTACCATGCTGTTTTAATTATTACTGCTTTGTAGTACAGTTTGAAGTTCGGGAGGTTGATTCCTCCCATTTTCTTTTTCCCAAGAATTGCTTTAGCTATTCGTGGGGGCTTATTGTTCCATATAAATTTCAAGAGTGTTTGCTCCATTTCTTTGAAGAATGTCATGGGTATCCTTATAGGGATTGCATTGAATTTATACAATGCTTTCGGTAGTATTGCCATTTTGACAATGTTAAGTCTCCCGACCCATGAGCAGGGGATATCTTTCCATTTCCTCATGTCCTCTTTTATTAGGAACTCTTTTTTTCTCTGTCTCATCTCTTTCTCTCTTTTTCCTCTCCCTGCTCTCTCTCTCTATATGTGTATATGTATATATATATATCGATATATAGATATATATACATTATGTATATAATGCCACCTCTTTGGGCATTATGGCTTGCAATACAGATGCTGAGAGTTAATCATGTTTGTTCCTTTCCCTATTTACAACACGTGATTCTTATCCAGACTGATCATTTTCAACTAACTTTGTCATAGTAGTTGGTCCCTTCTCTATCCCAATTACCTTCTCCCCAGCACAATATATATATATATATTTTTTTTTCCCCCTGGATATTTTATTTTATTTTTTATTAGTGAGACATCATGAGGTACAGTTGCAGCTTTACAAATTTTTGTGCTTGGGTTTCAGTTATACAATGATCAAATACCCATCCCTCCACCAGTGCCCATTTCCCACCACCACGGATCCCAGTAGCCCTCCCACCCCCCAACTCCCACCCCATCCTATCCTGTCTCTGTGGCAGGGCATTTCCTTTTGTTCTCTCTCTTTTATTGGGTGTTGTGGTTTGGAAAAGAGGCAATGGGTGACAATCATGTTTGGTCTATAATCTACTTTCAGCATGCTTCTCCCATCCTGGGAGGATGCTCCTAAAACCTTTATTTGGTGTTCCCTTCTCTATCTGAGCTCCCCTTTCCCCTAGCATGTGTGGCTGGCCTCCAAGCCATGGAGTAAAATTCCTGGTACTAATCTTGGCCATTCTTATGTGTCTCCTATTTTGTTACTTTATGTTCCCCAGATTAATGCAATCTTTCTATGTCTATCCCTTTCTTGCTGAGTCATTTCGCTTAACATGATACTTTCCATGTAGTACCACTTGTATATAAATTTCATGACTTAGTCTTTTCTAACAGCTACATAGTACTCCAGTGTGTAAATGTACCAAAGTTTCTTTAACCAGTCATCTGTTCTCGGGCACTCAGGTTTTTTCCAGATTCTGGCTATTGTAAAGAGTGCTGCAATGAACAAACAATTGCAGATGTCACTTTGACTATACCTTTTTGCCTCTCTGGGATATATTCCCAGGAGTGGTATTGCTGAGTCAAATGGGAGCTCAGTTTCTAATTTTTCAGCACAATATATTTTTATATTAAAAGATAAAGTGGGATCATTGCAGCTTGAAATGGTTCATGAATTAAGTTACTTTAGTAGATAGTTTATTTTGCGTAATGAGAGTAGATGTTAATTACGAAAACATAAGTAACTCTGAAGATAAAAATTGCCAAACCCAGAAGATAAAAATGCATGTGCATGAAAATGGTATATGGCTAAGTCTATTTTGATTTTTATTAAGGAAAAAGTGGTTTACAAGGCTGTGTATATTTTACACCTCATCCAATATATATTATCACACTGAACCCATCACCAAAGTACCAATATCCTTCACCACCATCCATCAGACCCCTTTCTTCATCCTATTTTAAAGTTTCATCTGCTGTAACCTCTGTTTTGAAGTTTGAGTTCAAGGATTTGCTTTGTTTAGTTTTGCTCATTTCCAACTTCAATGTAATAGCAGTTTGTTTTAATAACTAAATCCAAGAAGAGCACAAAGAAGAGTACAATGAAGACTTGTAATTAAGTCACTTTATATAAAGCTAATCACAATGTGAATATTATTTACCTTATCTTTTAAAAGAGTTTAAATAATTTTGGTCAGAAATATCTGAAAAAATGCTGGAATTTATATTTCAATTTATTGTAGGGAATCCTTGGCTAACTTATCTGTTATCATACAAGTTTAGTAATAATAAAAACCTAGTTAAATATTACACCGAATGGGGAATAAAAGTGCTACTTGCTACTTGGCTAAATTCAAACAAAACCACTTTTGAGAAGTTTATATTAGAGTCAGGTGAATTAGCTTGAGAAGATATTCTTTCTTATTTAAAACATTGCATCAGTTGTATTTTCAGTACATACCCAGGTTTGATTCCTCCATCCCTCTCGAAGAGACCGGCAAGCTACTGAGAGTATCCTACCCACAAGACAGAGCCTGGCAAGCTCCCTGGGTCATATTCAATATGCCAAAAATTGTAACAAGTCTCACAGTGGAGATGTTACTGGTGCCCGCTCGAACAAATTGATGAACAACGGGACAACAGTGCTACAGTGCTACTTAGGAGTGACATTACTCAGTTATAGGAATGTGCATGATAAGTCCTAAGAGTTTTCAAAAGATGTCAAGATTCTAAAAGAAAATAAAATTTGCAATTCAGTTTGAAAATTTTTCAATTTTCTTTAAACTGGAGCTAGAGTATTGAGGGTAAGGCACTTACCTTGCACATGCTGACCTGGATTCAATTCCCAGCATCACAAATGGTCCCCTGAACACCGCCAGGAGTGTTTCTTTTTTTCTTTTTCTTTTTTTTTTTTGTTTTTGCTTTTTGGGTCATACCCGGCGATGCTCAGGGGTTACTCCTGGCTTTGCACTCAGGAATCACTCCTGGCGGTGCTCAGGGGACCATATGGGATGCTTGGAATCAAACCCGGGTCAACCGCGTGCAAGGCAAATACCCTACCCACTGTGCTATTGCTCTAGCCCCCAGGAGTGTTTCTTGAGTGCAGAGCCAGATGTAGCCCTAAACAAAACAAAGTAGATTTGTCAATTTTTGCTAAACTTGAACATAAACATCATGTTAGAACAAATCCACACCTGCAATAAATCAAATGTGCTCCAGAAGACATTCACTACATTTGTGGAAACATTATTTAAGTGATTTCAATTATTAAAAATAATTAGGAAAAATGTTTCTTAGAAGAAACACATAGACAAGGGTAAACTGACATTTTTCCATTCAGGAAAATCATGAGTACATATCTAAATCTACCTCTCTCCTTCCCTCCCTTTATTTTCCCAATAAACTTCTTTTACTTAAAAAACAGTAGTATACTAGACCTGGAATATTATATGAGAATGAAAAATGCAACAGATGGGTGGACCTCACAGACTGATGTTTGGTGAAAGAGGCTGGACACAAGAGCACAGACAGAACCATTCCATTCATATGATCTTCAAAAGCAAAATAACCTTCCACAGAACAATGCATAAATGAATACTGGTTATTGTAGGGAGTGGTGATAAAATGTTCTGAACAGTAGTTTGGGTTGAGGTGTACCCTTATGGATCGTGTATTTACACATGCTACACTCAACAAAATAAATCTTAAATATCATATGGTCCCTGTAGGATAGTTTACATATTTGGGGTAAGTCAAGTGACTCAGGAGAAGCTCTGGTAGGAAATTCCATTCGTGTACCTCGTCTTTTGTCATTTGTTCTTTTTTCTGGATGCATTGCCACAGGATCAGGGACTTACCAGTTTAGTCCCTAGATCCTTGTATTCCTGAGGGACTTCTCCTGGAAGAGGGGATAACATTGGTGCTGAGAGAGGGAGTGGGGGAGGGAGACCGGGAAGGGAGGAAGGGAGGGAGGGAGGGAAAACTCAGATACTCAGATCCGTTAGTTAGTTGCACACAAGACAGCAGCAACTGTGGAAACTCGCTCAGAGAGGAGCAGGGACAAGAGCCCAGAGCCAGCTACTTCTCTCCTGCCCCCAGTTTTCAGCTGCAGGTCGGTGGGGCTACTTTCCGTCCCGAGAACAGTGGAAGAGATACTTTGATTAATCCTACTGGGAGAGATCTTTAACTGCAAAAGCGCTGTGCAATGTTAGCTCTCTGCAAGAGTGAACCATTGAAGACAGGAACAAAGGGACAACTGCTCTGTCTTGTTGTAGTTGTTGTTGCTGTTGTTGTGTTGTCCTTGTTTTTCAGTGCGCCGTCGGCCGGACAGACCTGGTGATCTGGTAGCGGGCTGTATAGCGCGCTCCCCGCAGTCAACTTGTGGGTGCGCTGGGGGAACAGATCAAGTGTCAATCAAGGGCGCGCGCCGGACTCCTCCGAACGCCGGGATCCAGCAAACTCCAGCAGGCTCCCCGGCAGAAGGGAACATGCCCCCCAAGTCCTTTTCCAACCTCTCCGAGGCTCAGGGCGCGAATCTCAGCGCTCCCGACCCGGGGGCTCAAGCCGAGGACCTCTTGCCTGTCGCCGACGGGACCCCCGCCAAGTTGGTGATCCGCTGCGTGATCCCGTCCCTCTACCTGCTCATCGTCACGGTGGGCTTGCTGGGCAACGTCCTGCTGGTGAAGATCTTCATCACCAACAGCGCCATGAGGAGCGTCCCCAACATCTTCATCTCTAGCCTGGCCGCCGGGGACGTGCTGCTGCTGCTCACCTGCGTGCCGGTGGACGCCTCGCGCTACTTTTTCGATGAGTGGATGTTCGGGAAGGTGGGCTGCAAACTCATCCCCGTCATCCAGCTCACGTCCGTGGGGGTTTCGGTGTTCACGCTCACCGCGCTCAGCGCGGACAGGTAAGGGCACAGGTGCGGCGGCTTGGGGGATGGAGTGGGGTTGGAGGGACCAGCAAAGGATTCCCGGGGGCGTACGTGGAGAAGGGACGGGAAGATGGGGGAGGAGGAAGGGGAGCGAGCTGGAGTCGGAGTGTCAGAGTGAAAGGAGTCCAAAACGACTGAAGTGGGGAGCTTGCAAAAAGAGGAAAAAACGCGAATTTTTAAGCGCGTTACAATTGCATTAGTTTAAAAGTTGTCTTAAAATAACGCACCTGAGTCTACTGCCTCCTCTATACACACCGTGAGAATCTTTAATTGTCCATTTACTTGTAGCCTACGTGTAAAAAAAAAAAAACCTTAGAAGTGATCGTTGCTTATTCAGTAGTTCAACAAGCTGATAGGTAAGAATATCTGTTTTAATATTAGAGGAAAGAGAGAATTTGACCTTTTATTCCAGACAAGGGGAAAGATCATTTACACTTATTAGCTAAATTTTATTTGACAGCAGAAGACAAGATTACAGTTAGAACCGCATGTAGGGTGGTTTCCTGGCATATGGCTCTGGGTTAGATACCTGACACCCCCTACGGTCGCTGACCTCCCCTTCCCACCTCTTTCCTCCAGGGGTAGTTCCTGTGTTCAGTGTCCAGAGCCAGGAGTAAACTTCCTTCAGGCAAATAAGACATTCTTTTACTTTAATACCTCAAGTAATTGGGTTCTCTTCCCTTCCCCTGGCCACCCACCAAACACAAACGTAGGTGCCAAATTTTAGGACTTTAAAGTCGTCAAATGCGTCTTTGATTTCAAGTCTGCCTTTCACATATATTGTGAAGTGTCCATTATACAACCTGTAGCATCAACTAGCTGTACCATCTCCTAGATGAGAATCTTGAAACTCAGGGAATAGATGTCCCCATGGTAGAACTCTGGGAGATAACTTCAAGCCAGGTTTGGTGCCACCCAACCCCCTAAATTATACTGAGAGCATTTAGATGAAGGAGGAAATATCTGGAAGGAATATGCGCAAAAAAGGAAATTAGACTCATTCTAGTAGCCATATTCTAATTACTTTGGGATGAGATGTTGACTTAAGCTACTTAGACAATCAATTTTATTTTGAATGTTAAGGTGGTATTCTAACTTAAGATAGGGTAAATTTAGTAACTTACCTATTAAGTTATTAATGAGAAATCCATCTGAAGTTTCTGCTGTTGGCAATAATATCCTTAACCACTTTGGCATTTAAGAGTCAATGCTTATCTTTACTTGAATAAAAACATTTAGTGGGAAGTTGAGAGCTACTGTCTGTTTTGCTGAGTACTAGTACTATTGACTTTTTACTTTATATAATATTTTCTCTAAAATTATATTCTTAAAATATTAAGTACCTTTTTAAAATAATCGTATTTTGTTTATATGATGCCATTCTTAATATTTTTTAAAATGTCTATTACCTTGATTTTTACCCTTTTCAGTGCCTTTATTAAAATGCCTTTTTATTTCAGTTGCTTTTTTTGTGGCATCCTTTTAATTTGGAAAGTTAAAGACACCTACTTAATGATTAGAATAAAACTTAATGAATGGCTATCAAGTACAATAGTTGAAATTACTATCATTATCCATTCATTAAAAAAATGTTACATTTGTTGCAAGATCCAAGACTTGGATTTATTTCACACCGATTTTCTCATTCTCCTGGAGACACTCAGGTACTTTAACTCCAACCAAGGTCAGAAAAAAAAGCTATTGACTATGAATTTACTGATTTTGAAGGGGCATAAAAGGGAATAAAATATGTCATGCACTTAGTAAGTACAGCATGGATATTCTAATAATAAAGATAAAGGTAGCTGATATTTCTTGAAGCTACTCTTAACTGTGTGTGCTTTTGAAAGAAAAAAGGCTATTGATACCCTGGGTTATCAATGTGTGTTTTAGGATTATAAATCAAGGAACAGGAATCACTGGTAGTGAAATTATACAATATACTTCAATATTTGTTTAAAAATGGTTTGTGAATATTTTGTTTTATTGAGTTTACGCTTCAATTTCATCTAGAACATGGTAATCAGATGTTTTTAACTACTTTATCTCTTCATACCTGGGTCAACAAGATTTGAAAACAAATATCAGATAATTTGTACTTCACACTGTGCTATGTTTTTGTGTGTGTGAGTTTGTTCTTACAACGTATAAAGTAGATCCTATTTTAATTATTGTCATCTTAGGGTAAATAAAAGTTAAAGCTGAAATTCACGAACTTTCTCAAGAACTCAATTCAAAGCTTGTACTCTTCATCATTATATCAAACATCATCTTACTTTCCTAGATGCATTACTTTCTTCTTTATTTAGTGGCAGACTGAAGAGTTAAAAACAATGTACTCAGATGCTGGAGAGATAGTGGAATGGGTTCTGCCCTTGCCTTGCATGCTGCTGGCTGGGTTCAATCCCGGGATCCCATATATGGTCCCTGAGTACCACCAAGAGTGATCCCTGAGCATGGAGCCAGGAGTAACTCCTAAGCAACACTGGGTGTAGCCCCAAAATATAAACAAAAAGCTCCACAAAAAATTTAATTCACTCTAATGTTTAAAAATATAAGATCAAAGGAGAGAAAGAGGGACCTAGATATGGCTCAAGTAATAAAGCATATGCTTTGCTCATGCAAGAGACCTGAGTTTGATCCTAGTCGGGGTCATTGGTAGCCACTGAACTCTGAGCACCTCCAAGAGAGCACTTCATTCAAAAAAGAGCAAACTTTTATGATTGATCACACAAGTCAATTCATGAGCTTAAAGAGAAAAGTGCAAAGGAAAACATTGAATTCAAAATTTAGTAATTGTGGCAGACAGAGTTTAGTCATTGTGTCCACAGTAGATATGGCTCCAAAGCATAGTAAAACCTGCACAAGAGTGGACAGCCTGGTCTAAAATGATGGTAGTGGGCTTTGTTGATTTTCACTCGAATCTCCATGGATTTCTTTTGTTATCCTTTTGAAAATATGCTTCTTTTTGTCCTGGCTTACAATATGTAGGTGATTAAGAGCATATGCATACCCTCTGTTGTCTCACACTTGTAACAGTTTTACTTATGCATATACACACACTTTCTTACTCCCACTCTTGGGACATGTGTAGTGATAGTCCTAAGTGGTGCTTCACTGCTTATGGCTGACATTATAGCCACCCTGACTAAGTGTTGGAGCAGCCGTACTTCTAAACTTAAAATTCAAATATTTTTTAGGGCTGGATTGATAGCACAGCGGGTAGGGCATTTGCCTTGCACATGGCCGACCTGAGTTTGATTCCCAGCATCCCATATGGTCCCCTGAGCACCACCAGGAGGAATAATTTCTGAGTGCAGAGCCAGGAATAACCCCTGTGCATTGCCGGATGTGACCCAAAAAGCAAATCTTTTTATTATTAGAAGTTCATAATTCAAATTCTAATTACTTTTAGAAATGGAATCTTCTTTTATTCTTTATAGGTAAAATTCCTATAAATCCCTAGTATTAATATTAACCTATAATGAGACCTGTTACAGTTACTGGTTTTGGCCTATCGAATTTGGCAAGATGAGTAAGGAGAGGCTGCTAAAATCTAAGGGCTGGGATGAATAGAGACATTACTGGTGCCCACTCAAGTAAATCAATGAACAACGGGATGACAGTGATACAGTGATTAACCTATAATATTTATATAGCTTATTACTTACAAGTGTAGAACTTAAACATCAATCCATATTGTCCTTCTATAGGTGATAGCCACAATTGAGTTACAAATTTATTTTTAAACATCTGTAAAGAAATACAATTAGAATTAATATAATGTTCTCGGGTAATTTTTTTTCTGATGCTACATGGTCAATATTAAAGTCAATGCAAAAATGGTATTGTCCTATCTGATTAAACATAATTAAAGTGTTAACGTTTCATAATTTTACTTTTGTAATATTTAACTTTTTAAACATGTTTCATAATTTTAAACTTTTTATTCATTAGAATTCTCAGATTTAATTGTATATGGAGGTTTTTATGCAGAATCTGGATTTGGGGTGGGGTTTTGTTTGTTTGTTTTATTTACTTTTGTTTTGAGGTCACTCACACTTGATTGTGCTCAGGGCTTACTCCTGGTCCTGTGCTCAGAGGTCTTTTCTGTTGGTGCTCAGGGAACCATATGTGGTGCCGGGAATTGAACCCTGTCTGGTTGTAGGCAAGGCGATGCCCTTGTCACTGCACGATCTTCCCAGCCCCACTATACAGAATCTTGATTTGTCAACATTATTTAGATAAACTTGTGCCAACAAATATTATATTTTTGTTGAATATTTGTGAAAGTATTGAAACAGAATATAGGCCTAAGCTCTAGTACTCCCTAGAACTTCAAAAAGCTTTTTATCCCTCTTTGCCAGTGGGAAGAGGGAATGCCATCATCAAGTTTGCTCATTTCTTAAACCTCCTGAGTGAAGCTAGGTACTGCTGAAATGACTGATGGCTATTCCAGATTCTTACTTCTTTGGTCAATAGCCCTAAATAGCATCTTGTGAAGCATTTTCCTCTCAGTGGGTGAGACAATATGCTCAGAATGTGCTTCTCAACTCTTCTGGAGAGTGTCATCCTTACCCAAGGGAAGAATCTACGTTGTCCCTACAGATAACTCAGAGCTGACTTATTTCTGTGTTCCAAAATAAGGCAGCTTAAAAATAAAACAATATGCAGGAGGAATAACAAAGGGGGGAGCAGGAATATGAAAATAAAATTTGAAGAATATGTGATGACCCATACTTTCATAAAATATGAGTCATACATTTGTCTGAGAGATGTTTATGGCTGCCAACACATAAGAGAAAGTTTGCTTTGCATTTTAAGTGCTCAGTTGTTATTTTCATATAACCAGAGACACAGGATGAATTGCAATCTGCACTTAATTAGTTTTGTGATTTGAATCCTTCTTGTTAAATAAAGGTTGTTATACTTGACTCCAATAAATCAAATCCCTTTCACTCATTAATCTCAAATTCTTTTAATTTATTTTCCTTGCCCTTCTCAGAAGAAATCTTACACAGTGAATTAGAGAGATGCTACATAATCCTTACAACTTCAGAATATCACAATAATTATGTATTGTTTTATAGCTTTTGAGTATTTATTACCCCACTTTAATCTTGAATCTTTGGAACGCACTGTAACTAAGGGGATGCACCAGGCTGCATGTATGGCTTCTGCGGGATAGTCCTATATCTATTATAATTCAATGTTCTAGGTGGAGAAGATTATAAACTACGCATAGTACATGCCCATACGGTAGTGCTTACCTTATTTGCACAATGAAAACGATGATGTCTTCAACTGTGGATCAGAGGAACTTTTAGTAGGATCCTATAACTCTTTTTGGTGGTGAGCAGAGAGATACAAAGATGAGAGGAGATAGTAGTCACAGTTAGTGAGACTATCGGACCCTCAGCCCAGTGACATCCAGAGCTCAGGCAAGTCTTTCTCATTCCATCTTTCATGCTTCTTATTATACTGCCCACTTCTTATTGATAACAAAGGCTTCCTCTGTTGTACTGCACAGACCTTTCTGTGGTGATGCATTTAAATTGGGGCCATCTGCTCTGGCTGGCTGAGTCCTAAAGTCAGTGAAATTTCAACGCTTTCCTCATTATCAAGTTGTCAACAGCAGGACAGTTTCTACTTGTGTTTCCAAACCCAAAATAACCATTTACCCACATATTTCCAATTTCTGAGTGTTGACGAGAGTTGACTGATTTTGTAGAGCCTTGAAATAATTGTAATTACATTTTAATTTTCTCACTCTCTGCAAGTTCTTACTTAAAGTTAGATATCCACGACTCCAGTTATTTATTATAATTATGTAAAAGTTTGTGCTCTGATAAGCAGTGTAGGTGATTCCTTTTGATAAGGGTTGTTCTAACATTTAGTACAATATGATATATACTATGTTTTTGAATTCATATTCAATTAATATTATTACCTTTGAGTCAGTGTGTAGATTTTGGATAATAATTTATGTAACAATAAAGTTTCAACTCTTTGGAGAACTTTAGCCACATCTGAAAGTACAACCTGGTAATTTAGAATGTTCACTTTTTTCTTACAAAATGATAAAATTGTTCATTGTTGCTTTTGCTGCTTTATTCTTAGGGTTTTTTTCCGAACACTCCTGGTTATGCTCAGGGTACCATAGGCAGTGTCAAGAATTGAACCCAGGGTGACTGTTTGTAAGCCTTACCTGCTGTACTATATCTCTGGTCCCTGTTCATTTTTATGTCCCTGTACAGGCAAGTTTATTTTAAACATTTACACCTTTGTAGCACTTGACTTGATTCATCTATTTGTCTTTAAGTTTTGATATTTTTTCTCTTACAGATTTTCATTAAGAGTAAATTTTAAACTTAACTCACTATAGATTTTTTTATTTGAATTATTTGTGACAGGGTGCAGAAATTATTTGAAAATTAAAATTTTTTATGCTGATTATTTAAGTCTTGAAAAAGAACCACATTGTACAGTAGAGCCAAACAATAAATATCCCAGTCCAATCCAAAACTAGCCAGACTAGGAAAATTCAATCTAGAGATGATTATAGATATTTAATAGGTAATATTAACATGTAGTATTTAGAGATGAAAATAATAATATAAAATTTTGTTCTCTAGTACTGTTGACACTCAGTTTCACTATAAAAAGTATCATTGAATTGAGATGATATAGCACATCATGATAATACAGTATTGAACAGTAGAAAATTGTCCTTGTTTTATCATAATAGAAATTTATTTGTTATGTTATGAACAATTTAAATGACTAAATGAGAATATTAGACATCTAGGCAATAGAAGTAGTATAAGAGCAAAAAAACATCAACAGCTTTAGCAATATTAATCAACAGTGCTGATGGCAGAAATCCACTTCTTAGAAATGTGTAGGTAATGATGTAAAATTCAGCTGGTTGCTTTGTTTTGGGGCCATACTCAGTGATGCTCAGGGCTTACTCCTGGTTCTTAGTTCTGGCCTTGTTCAAAAGACCATATGTAGTGCTAGAGATTGAACCCCAGTCAGACACTGCATGACAATCACTGTACTATTTCTCTGGCCTTTAAAAAATAGTTTTAACTCAGGGATGGGATTTGAGATGAAACAGTGGATTTCTACTTTTCTTAAAAACTTTATATTTGCTTAGTGAAAAATAAAAAAAAGCAGCAACAACAAACCCTCTATTTAGATATGTTGAACGGATACAAAAAATTAAAAAAGAAAAGTTGGTCATTTAAGTTACCAATATAATTTTTCTTTCCATTTCCTAAGAATATGCAATAAAACAGATGTGGAGAAGATAGCACAGACTCAGTGGGTTCTGCTTGTGTAAAATCTGGGAATAATGCATTATTTATTACTTTAATTTGCTGTTACTTGACATTAATTCCTATAACTCTGCTCCATATGGGAAAACCTAGATCAAAATGTGAATTTTCTTTGAGAGTCTAGGACGGATGCCATGCCAGTCAGGAAGAGAAAGAGAAGTTCCCCTAGAAGCCTTAGAATGGTGTCAAGACTGTGAGTTGTTCATCTCATGTGGAAAATTCTCAGGAGACTAACTCAGTAAACTACATGTTACGTAGCACAAACTGTAAAATTTTTAGAGCATTAAACTAATTTCAGTGAAATAAGGAGACATACAGGGTCATCACTGCCAAGTTAGAATTTGATCTTTGCTGGGCTCTATTACAGATATTCTAGATGCTTTTTCCATTTTCAAATTTTGAGGGAGATTCTTTTGATCTCATCTTACAGAAGAAGAAAATAACTGTAAGCAATATTCCAATATCAGAGAGTTGATAACTCAGATTTGTTTGATTAAAATCTTTGACAATATCTAGATAAACTATAATAAGAGAAAAAAATTAAAGACACAAAAATCATTTTAAGCTTGAATACAACTTTGGTTCATTTGAGCTATCAATGCACTACTGAATGCGTGACTGAATTTGTTGTAAAAGACTTGGGTTGTCAAACTCTTGTATCCTGGAAAGTGGATTGTAAACTTTGATTGAGTTAGGTTGGAGGAGAGAGAGGATCTAATGAGGTCTTGACATTTAATATATTTGAACTATAAAGACAGATCACTACTTCATTTTCAATTGGGTTAGGTTTTGTGATTGAATTGTGGAGAAAAATTCAAGTCTATTATTAGTCTCTAGATTTTACTAATGTCCTTAGAAAAATTGTGGGAAATCTCAGGCTCAGGAGCTATAGGAGATGACTAAGGTCAAATGCAATAATGTTGTACCAATTACTGTAGTAAAAAGAAAGTACTTAAATAAAAAATATCCCATAAGTGAAGATACTTGGGAAGGGGGGCTGTATGTATTTGGGGAAATACTTGTGAAAAAGGTTAGCACAAAAATTACAATTTGGAAAACGACAATTTCTAGCATTTTCCTCTCTAGGGACTATTGGAGAGTTGGCAACTTTCTCTTAGCAAGTAAGATTTTGTCCTCTTTCTTTCTTATTTTCTTTCCTTTTCCTTCTTTATTCCTCTTCCTTCCTTCCTTCCTTCCTTCCTTCCTTCCTTCCTTCCTTCCTTCCTTCCTTCCTTCCTTCTTTCCTCCTTCCCTCCCTCCCTCCCTCCTTCCTTCCTTCCTTCCTTCCTTCCTACCCTCCTTCCCTCCTTCCCTCCTTCTTACTTTTTTAAGAGAATAATTAGAAACTTTTTTTTTTACAGATACAGAGCCATTGTAAACCCCATGGATATCCAGAAATCAGGGGCGGTGCTGTGGACCTGTGTGAAGGCAGTGGGCATCTGGGTAGTCTCTGTGCTGTTGGCAGTTCCTGAAGCCGTGTTTTCAGAAGTGGCTCGCATTGGCAGTTTGGAAAACGGCAGCTTCACAGCATGCATACCCTACCCTCAGACAGATGAATTACACCCAAAGATTCATTCAGTGCTCATCTTCTTGGTCTATTTTATCATACCACTTACTATCATTAGCATTTATTATTATCATATTGCCAAGACCTTAATTAAAAGTGCACATAATCTTCCTGGAGAATATAATGAGCATACCAAGAAACAGGTAAGCTTGTAGGTGTATATGTCTGGGGCTATAAGATCAGATGTAGTAACTGCAATTTTGCATTCTAGTTTCTGGGAATCTCAGGGCCAGACATGATTGCAACAGAGTCTCAAGTGTAACCTGTGTCTTCCAAATGGGAAAATTCTTCCAAATGATTCTTTAGATATAGTGACGTCAGAAATGTTTTTTCTCCTATGTGAAAGCAACCAAAATTGAGTCACAGATTAGTAAAATATTTTAGCATGCAGTGTGAACTAAGAAATCGGACACTTTTTGCAATAGAAGAATTTAGAAAAGGTCTTTTCATATAGGATTATGTCTATTAATAATTCAGTATCAGAGATGCACAACTACTTTAACTGTTTAAAAAAACCAAGAATCAGATAATTGTTAGATAAATTAATACTTTTTTAGTGACATATCTGGCATCATTGAAATGTAGCATACAGATTAGAAGCTCACTATAATTTCTTCTTTTGTACAGTTCAGAGTCCTGTTTGTATTTTCAAGTTTGGGTTACTGAGTTTTCTTCGTTTCTATACCTATGTTCTTCTTAGCTTTCCCACTTTCAGTTTTAAAAGGGTAACTTTGGCTCGGCCTTATTTCTGCAAAGTACTTTGCTGGGGAGGCTCAATAAACTCTGGTGATGACTCGACTTCTGCTCAAAAGTAATCTTGATACTGCAAGTCTGAACAGTGAAATCTCCCAATATAGATTTTGAGGAAATTTTTTTTTTCTTTTTGGGTCACATGCGGCAATGCACAGGGGTTACTCATGCACTCAGGAATTACCCCTGGCGGTGCCTGGGGGGACCATATGGGATACTGGGAATCGAACCCGGGTTGTCCACGTGCAAGGCAAACGCCCTACCCGCTGTGCTATAGCTCCAGCCCCTTGAAGAAATTCTTGCATCCATGTTCTACCTGCTTGGGTGGACATAAATTGATAGTAAAACTTCATGTGTGATCAGCTAATATTACTGGATTGCCTAATTTATGCCACTGGGATCTATATGGAGTGCCACATTTGGCTTCTTCTAAACTAAATCTATTCTAGTTTACCATTAGATTCTTTCTCCAATCTCTACTTCTATTCCTGAAGTCAGATAGGTTTTATTCCTCTATAATTCCAGTTTTCACTACATTACTCTATTTTACTAATACTTTTGACTGAGAAATTATCAGGTACTATTGTTTTCACAATTTTACATTGAGACAAATTAGATAAACATGAACTCAATCTTGAACTCTAGGTATTAGAAAATGACTCTAAACAAAAAGATTAATGGTCACTTTTGAACTTTGTTTTCTATATTACTTAGATTTTACTATATTTTAAAATTTATGTGTACAAAATATATGGAAGAAAAGAAACTATATTTTAAAGGTGACAGTATAATAATCTTTAAAGGATTGATATTTTATGTCAGATTTATATGACATTATATTATAGCTATGAATCATGTGAGTCAAGAATTTAGATTCTTCCTGTAATAGAGTAATGCTAATAAAAAATCATTCTCTGTTTCAATAGCTCCATTTTTCATATTTATAATACCACAATTTAAATAAAATCTAAGCATGAATCTATTCCATGGTTCATCAATTCAGAGTATTTCAATATAAACAGAAGTGATTTATATTTATAATGAACATAAGACTTTAAACAAAAGAAAAATAGTTAACAGAAGTTTCCAAGATCATATCTTTAACATAATGGCAAAACTACTTAAAAATAATTCATCATCTAGTCATAAATATACTGTCAAATATATTAAATTAAAATAGTTTGATGACTAAAACAGGCTTCACCAAACTGCTTAAGTCATTACTTCCATAAGGAGACTAGTCTTTTTTGATTTTGGATGCATTTGCATTTTCTGTAACACTGTTAGAAATTTTGTATGTGACTGTTTTCCTTTTCATTTTAATCAAAGGAGCTCTGCCCTTCTATTTACAGATGGAAACACGGAAACGTTTGGCTAAAATCGTGCTGGTCTTTGTGGGATGCTTTGTCTTCTGTTGGTTTCCAAATCACATCCTCTACCTGTACAGATCTTTCAACTATAGAGAGATTGATTCATCCCTAGGCCATATGATTGTCACATTAGTTGCCAGGGTTCTGAGCTTTTGCAATTCTTGTGTCAATCCATTTGCTCTTTATCTACTCAGCGAAAGCTTCAGGAGGCATTTCAACAGCCAACTTTGTTGTGGAAGGAAGTCATTTCAAGAAAGATCAACTAGCTACTTACTCAGCACCTCTGCAGTTCGCATGACATCTCTGAAAAGCAACACTAAAAATGTGGTGACCAATTCTGTCTTACTAAATGGGCACAGTATGAAGCAGGAAATGGCGTTGTGATTTTGACCGTTCGACTTAATATCTGGAAAGAACTTTCTATTTTAAATCTATTGAGCAGAGCAGAATTAAACTGTTTTCTCATTCTGATTATCATTATTCAACTAACTAATTCACGAAAGGATTCTGTGATTGATTCAGAAAGGGCAAATCAAACGTATTTGATAAATTTTTCTTTGAATAAGATTTTAAATTACATTAAAATATATTTATTGTTCATACTAACATGTTAAAAAAATTCTTTATGTATATATATCCAAATTGCTTCAAGTTTTAAATTGTTGCTAGAGACCGCTCTGATATATTTATCTTAAATTTATTTTATCTTGATGCATGAAATAAATTCCTGTGGTAAGACAACCCAACAAGGGTATGAGCCAAACCTCTAGAGTTTGATATACAAGTCTTTTTTTCTTAGTGAATTTTATTTATAACTAGTGAATGTATGTATCTCTATGTTTGAATAAAATGTTAGAAAATTCAAAAACTTGGAACTTAACGAGAAGTGAATAATAATTATTATGATTCTTTATGTCATTTTTCATAATGTATAGCAATAGCCTATACATGAAGCTTCTACTTGTAAAATTAACAATAAGATAGTATTTGTATTATAAGTGGCAATGTAGGTGTTATGTGATTATGGCTACATTCTGCATGTAATATGTATGTCATATGCCCCAAATTGTAAACCTATGATTAAAAAATTTGCTTGGTGATTTTTGTATGCATTACTAAATCCTTGAATATTTGTATAACTTTATAGACAGAAGGTTTGTGTATGTTTAGTGAATTCAAGCATTTGTTTTCTTGCACCAGTTACCTGGGAAGTACACATGATTTGCATTGTTCTCATGATTTTCTATGAATCCGAGTCTTGATATTTTGCCCCAAAAGGAAGAGGCTATCTTAATTAAATTCCAAAAGCTACCTTTTAAGTGTGTATTAATAAGACATTGAACTAAATATATATTTCATATGTTTTCCTTTTCCAAATATGGTGACCACAAAATTGTGTATTAAATTCTTAAAATGGTAGGCCCACACTGTTTGATAAATGAAAATATCAATAGTATATTGCCTGCCCCGGTGCCTGGCTGTCCTCGCCGGGGCCCCTTGGAGGGGAGCTGGTTGAGTTTCCCTCCCTGCCCCGACCACGGCTCCGGCAGCTGAAGACCTCCAGAACCAGCCACCACCATGCTGAGACCACTCTCCACACACATGAAAGTACCGGCAGAGGAACAAAGGCATGCGGGTCCCGGGGCTGAGATCTCCAAGTCTGCTCGGATCAGGGCTGAGCATCCTCCACCCAGATCCTCCATATTCCAGTAGGCAGGTGTCACACCCACCAACAGGCCCCCTGGTGCCGTGTAATCCCATCAACGGCCATGACCCAGAGACTATAAAACCCAGCTCCCAGAAACGACATCTTCTTATCTCATTCTTACTTTGGACAAACTGGCAGGCTACTGAATGTAACCTGCCCACATGGCAGAGTTTGGCAAACTCCCTGTGGCGTACCCAATATGCCAAATACCAGTAACAATGATGGGTCTCATTCTCCTAACCCTGAAAGAGCCTTGAATATGGCACTTTTTAAAAAATTTCAGGGCTAGGATGAAGGAGACATTACCAGGGCCTGCTCGAGGCAATCGACAAACAACAGTATATAGCTATGGCAAAAATAAACACAAATAACTTGTCTCCAATAATTGATATAAGTAATGATAATAAACTCTAATTGAGCAGATTTAATGTTCTAGACATAATCTTAGAGTTTGATTTTAGGTATTTTACAAAAGCTTATGTATGAAAATCTCGAGAACAGTGGGCCTCAGGTAAGAGTCTCTGTTCATCCAGTATGACAATAGTTGGGAAATAATCACTCTGGACAAGAACTGGAGTGCTCAAAGCAGGTAAAGGGATAAATATAATAACCTTTTAGCATCTGTATTGCAAACCATAATATCCAATATGAGAGTGAGAAAGAGAGAGAGGGGGCCGTGCAGGCTGGGGTGGTGGTGGTGGGGTTAGGGGGCGATGGGTGGGAAACGGAGGAAATTACACTGATGGAGGGATGGGTGTTGCAACATTGTATGACTGAAACCCAATCATCAACAGCTTGTTAGTGCTTGATCTCATGGTGATTCAATGAAAAAGAAAAGAAAAAGGAAAAGAAAAAGGAAAAGAAAGAGGAAAAGAAAAAGGAAAAGAAAAAGAAAAAGAATCCCTTTTTAGTACAAAATCTTCCCCTTGTTGATGTCAAGTTAAAAGTAGAAATAGATATATAAAAGATTATGAAATATATATGTATGCATCTTATAAAATGTTGACTTATATCAATAATACTATTTTGATTTTTATTTGATTTGACTGTTAGAATGTATTTTAAATATTCACATTATTATGCCTGTGTTGATAGCACAGCAGCAGGGTGTTTGCCTTGCATGCAGCCAACATGGCTGACCCAAGTTCGATTCCTCCGCCCCTCTTGGAGAGCCCGGCAAGCTACTGAGAGTATCTCGTTCGCACGGCAGAGCCTGGCAAGCTACCCATGATGTATTCGATATGCCAAACACAGTAACAACAAATTCTCCAATGCAGACGTTACTGGGCCGCTCGAGCAAATAGATGAACAACAGGAGGACAGTGACAGTGACAGTGACATTATTATACAGAACTGTGAATTAGGTCATGAATTTTGAACAAGTGAAGTTTTTTCATTTACTAAGAATTCATTGCCAGCTTCATTAAACACAAAAGAAACATTTTTATTAAATTTCCGTGAAATGAAATGTTAACAAGTCTTCTAGAAAATAGAATATCTATATTTCAACTTAAAATGTATAAATATTTTTCAGACTTTCAAAACAAAGGGTTGGAGTAAGAAGGAAATACTATCAATTTTGGTGTTGAAACCGACTTTTGTAAAGTTATAAAAGAGTAAGTGTATGAACATTTAAAGCAAATGTGTTTCTATCTCTATCTTTAATAACTATTGAAGAAGACATTATTATTCATACACTGTGGTTAGAGTATTTTAAACCACTTTGTTTTCTAATTTTTTTGCCAAGCTATTACAACTTTTATGTGTTTATATATGTTGTAGCATATCAAAATTTTTGTTTTGTTTAGTTTTGTTTTATTAGTGAAACACCATGAGGTACAGTTGTAGACTTACAAGTTGTTGTGCTTGGGTTTCAGTTATACAATGATCGAGTACCCATTCATACCAAAATTTTAAGAAGGAAAATTGTTAAAATACAGAAGCAATTCTTAATCTGTGGTGAATGACTTATATTTATAGTGTATAGAAAATATAACCAAGATTTTATTTCTGAGAACTAACTGTCTTCTTGGGCATAAGCAGAAAATAATTATCATATTAGAATAAACAAATAAATAAAATATCTAAGGGCTTTACAGAATATTACACAATATTTAATGGTATTGAATTTAGTGTGAATTCCATTTCCTTTAACTGAAATGGAAAATCTATGATCATTAGAGATATTGAGGTTTATAATTTGAAAGGTATTTGAATTTTCAAATTGTCATTTTTATATGTTGCCAAATTTAATTATGCACCATGAGTTTAGGCTTAAAATTTCAATACCCCCTGTCACTGCCACTGTCCTCCCGTTGTTCATCAATTTGCTCGAGCGGGCCCAGTAACATTATAAGACTTATTACTGTGTTTGGCATATCAAATACATCACGGGTAGCTTGCCAGGCTCTGCTGTGTGGTGAGATACTCTCGGTAGCTTCCTAGGCTCTCAGAGAGGGGCGGAGGAATCAAAAGCGGAGGAATTGAACTTGGGTCGGCCCAGTTGGCTGCATGCAAGGCAAACACCCTACCCGTTGTGCTATTGCTCCAACTCCCAATACCCCCTAAGTGTTTACAATCTATTTGCTTCAAGTATAAGGTATTATATCACATTTTAAGTTTGTTTTATTTTTATGTCAGATTCTTAAGTTCAAAATTATTACCACTAAGAAGTATGAGGCAGAGTCTCCTGCCCCCATGCCTGGCTGTCCTCACTGGGGCTCCTTGGAGGGGGGCGGGTTGAGTTTCCCTCCCCGCCCCGAGCAGAGCCCCGGCAGCTGAAGACCTCCAGAACCAGCCACAGCAATGCTGAGACAACTCTCCACATGTCAGGACAAGCCTCATGCACGAAGGAACCGTCAGAGGAACCCAGGCATGCAGGTCCCGGGGTTGAGATCTCCAAGCCTGCTTGGATCGGGACTGGGCCTTCTCCACCCAGATTCCCATCTTCCAGTAGGTAGGCATTACACCCAATAGTTGCCACTGGCACCAGGTGGTCCCATCAACGGCCAAGACCCAGAGACTATAAAACCCAGCTCCCAGAAACCCGGATATCTTATTATCTAGTTTTTACTCCAGAGAATCCAGCAGGCTACCGAAAATATCCTGCCCGCAAAGCAGATCTGGCAAACTTCCCGTGTTGTACTCAATATGCCAAATACCAGTAACAATGATGGGTCTCATTCTCCTAACCCTGAAAGAGCATTGAATATGGCTCTTTTAAAATCTCAGGGCTAGGAAGGAGACGTTACTGGTGCCTGCTTGAGGCAATCGACGAACAACAGGATGATCGTGATCGTGATCAAAGAAGTATGAATCATATTTTAACCACTCGCATGTAGTTTTTTAAATGTGTATATATATGTAAAAGAAAGTGAAATATGTAAACAAGGTTCTATAAGAACAGAAATGTGAGAGAAAAAAATCACAAATCAATTTAATATGACCTTATTTTTCTGCATTAAATTTATTCATTCAAAATGCATGGATGTCAGAAAAGTTTTTCCATGGTAAATGATGAATAGTAATCACCGAATTACATAGCATCCTGTAGATATTTAATAAAATTCAATGGGAAGTTGAATTTAGTGTGTACCTTTATTTTTTAAAACTTGCATCTGAGGGCTGAAGAGATAGTACAGTGGTTAGCACACCTGCCTTGTGCTGTGTGTGCATCCAGGTTCTATCCATGGCATCATATGTGGTCCCTGAATCCCATCAGGAGTATTTCTTGAGTGCAAAGCCAAGAGCCATTCCTCAGCAACATGAGGCTTGGCTCTCCCCACAATAAAAAGAAAAACCAAATCAAAATAAAAATGTAT